TATTTGCTATGTCTCTCCTTAATCCTCTCAAAGCTTTATCTTTACTATTCATTTCTACTAAATTTTGTATGTTAAGATTACAATAATGTACATTTCATGATCCTAAGGACTAAAAGACAGTAAAGGTAAGACATGAAGCTATTTAATGCTCTGCTAAAGTATGAAGCCTTGGGTCACTACTTAATATACTCGTCTTCAAAATGTATCTAAGACCTGAAACCTTCATGAAGGCAGAGATCTGTCCCTCTGTTCCTCAATACATCTCCAGGGAGCATAAAGATGACATGCTACAAAGTGAGCACTGAATAACATAACATCTTCTGAACTATGGAGTTAGCCGCATTGTTAAAACCAGGACCTTAGGAAATGCCAAATCACAAAAAAAAATTTTTTCCTAAAAATTTTTCGACAGGGTATTACTGTGTAGTCAGTCCAGGCTGGTCTTGAACTCACTATGTAGCCCAGGCTGGCCTTAAACTCAAAGTGATCCTCCTGCCTCAGCCTCCTGAGGGCCACTGGGATGATTACAGGCATGTGCTACCACACCTGACCATAAAAAACCATTTTTTAACCTTTGACTTATTTCTACTATCAACTTCCACTTACACATTTCTAAAGCTTTTCATTTACAAAATTCTGAAGTAAAATATTCCTAATAAATTTTAACAATGAAGCCTAAGTAATAAGTAAATACTTAATTGACCTAACTATAGCACCTGAATTTTGGAATATTCCAAAAAGCAGATGCTTCACAGCTAATCCATAAGCCTAGAAAAATCTGCAGAATGTGCACCTTCATCGTTTCCTAAAAACACTATAACATCCTGCAAGGCTTACACTCCAAGTTAGCTCTGGAAGGGAGGCAGAGAAATTCAGAGACACCACAGGTTTTGATCTTTCTGACAAAATAAAGCCAATCAATGTTACCAATAGAAATACGCTATGTTCTATACACTACCATTTCCTTTCTTAAATATACAGAATTTACCTACTTCTTTAATAAGAAAGGCCTAACTAGTCCCCACAATAATCTTTATAGCAATAATAACTGAGTACAATTACTACTTGACTTTTTTAAAAAAACTTCAAAATAAAGCTGATGTATTTGCAAACTGATACAACTACAGGTTATCACCACAGGTCACCACAGAAAACTATCCAAATCTGCGATTTCATTGTTATGTTTCATAAAGCAAACAAGTCACCAGCAGAGGGCACTCACAAAGGGGGGAAGAGCTGGCCACAGCCTGGAAGAGAAATACGCTTACACAACTGCTGTATCTTACTTTAAAAATACAATGTTTTAATACAACAGAGACAAAGCTATCATAATGCATATTAGCTTTACAAAAGATAAAGCTTAAGCCTACATTATGTTTGGATACTAATACAAAATTTAAAGGAACAGATTTGACAACTTAAGAGATATTTAAAGCTACATGTCACACATACCAGGTCTCACTCTCAGAATCATTAACATTTTGACCTGGGTACTGTTGCGGTATGGAAGCTGCCCTGAACACCCTGAACAAGGAGGGAAGTCCAAATGCATTACTGGTCCCTACAGATGCTATCAGCAGCCCTCCTCCTCACCAAGCTGGGAAAACCAAAATATCCCCAATAATGAACATTTTCTCTACTGGGAAAAGGCACCGGCCCATGCCTCACTGATATTGATATAAAAAACAGAAGAATAACAGTGTATAAGGTAAGTTGGCTTTTCTTATACTGCTCTTCTATATTGGTTTAACATTAGACTTCCTCAGTATAATCTAAAAACTTTATTCTGCAAGTAGAATTCTGCATTAACATGAAAACACAAAGTAGAGAAATTGATAAGCCTTAAATACCACCTAGGCCAACACATGATGAAACAAATGAATCCAGTTATGAATTCACGTCTCCTTATTAAATAACTGTTTCATCAAAGGGCATAATATAGTACTTGAACTGTATTATGAAGACCACCTTAACAAAAGTATACAGATTTCATGAGAACTAGAGCTGAGAAAATTACTTCTTGCTCTATTTTTATGAGCATTTTTTATGTGTGATGCTCAATATATATTTGCTAATTACTTAATCTCTACAACTACCTATTTTTTTTAAGACAATTGTTTTCTTACACTAAGTTCTACCTGGGAAAATTGATTTTAAGGACTATGTCTTCATAACCTGTTATCTCTATAATATAAAAACATTTCTAGCCAACTTGCTATGAGTTTGTAATAGTCTTACATCACTAACAAGTTATGTCATTACTTTTTGAAACACTTTAGTGGACTTCATTGAAGACAAAATCTTCAGAAGTCTGAGTGACTCACACAAGCATATCACTGATTCTACATATGCTCTATTTCTTACAATTAATTCTTTTTTTTTATTATTGTTTTTGAAATAGGGCCCAGTTTGTAACCCATGCTGGCCTAGCAGTGATCCTTCTGCTTCAAATTCCTGAATGCTGAGACTAGAGGAACACACCACCACGCCTGGCCATGCCTAATTCTCGACTCTATCTCTGCCATTATGTTGCCATCAGAAGGCCAAATTCAAATTTCAGTATATTAACAAATCTTAATTATTGTTTACATTAGTATTTTCTTAGTGCAAATGCTAAATCACTAGAAAATAGGTATTACTTAGGTTAAACTTCTACAGCTTTCTTTCCACAGAAAGAAGACAGAATCCCACTGTGTAGTCCAGGTAGGCCGTTAGGTCATCAGGCTCCTCCCCTAGCTTCCAACTGCTGGGGTCACAAGTGTAGGGCATCAAGGGAAACTATCCATTTTATTTTAATGCAGGAAAAATGATGAGAATTCCAAATATGAAATGCCTATGGCCATTCAATTTTTCTCTCTGATCACATCATTTGCCAATCAGAACCTAACAGCAGCAGTGAATTTTTACAGTAAGTGTTGTCACGTTTCATCCACCAAGTCTATTAAATTCTCTTGCCTTTCTTTTAGCTGAACACCACCATGAATGAAGGTGTGTCAGTTTCCTCAGACTCACTATAACTTGGGGTTAAGTGATAATTTCAGACACTTGTCCCCAGAAGGCTAAACTACATGAGAGAATGTCAGTCTTAAAACTGACAGGTAAATAGTGCTTCCCAGATTCAACTGTATATTTGCAAAAATCATAATCACAGTTACGAGTGTAAGTTTATAAACATTTTCTACTTTCCCCATAAACAAGGGCTCACCTACTGGCCTTATTTATTCAGGATTTATATTGCATTTTAACAACTTCGAGAAAGAACGCTCCTAGTGTGTTTCATCACATTCATGCATTCACGACCTCATGATACACACATTCGTACAGCACTCCTGACCTCTGATAAGAAACAGAGCATAATGGAATTTCTCAGATATTCAGGGAAGATGAAGGGCTACTCTACTGAATATTCTATTCTTCCAAATCCCAAGAAAATTTACATGTTTAACCTGCATTCTGCTAAAAATTCTCTTTACACCTGATTTAAATGGTAGGCATATGCCAAGTATGTTTGATTTTGGAATACACATTGAAAGGGGTGAATTACTTCTTCTCAAACAAAAAACCAAACCTGTACTATAGCACATTATTGTCTCAATTAAATTTGGTACACAGAGTCTTACACAGGAGGCTGCTTTTTACTAGATTGTCCTTGTACTAATGCAAATTCTTGCCTGTTTAAGTCAAAAATTTCCAAATAAGCATTATTTCTCCATTTCTTGGTACTTCCCAAAATACCTGCCGTTTCCTTAGGATGGTAATCTATCCAATCCATGAAGTTCTAAGATGCATAAACACTCTCCCAAGGCCTCAGAACACTCATCATGCCTTAGAATCAACTCAGAGCAAAGTGTTTCTTCCAACTTTGAACAGATCTGAACTGGTAATTTCAACTTGCTCTAGATTCCACAGCTTGGGACTTAAGAGAAAAATCTGAGAAATTCTTCAAGACAGATTTTTAGAACTGGTACATTAGAATAAAAATAAAAGCTACAGATTAGTTTAGCACAACCTGGAGGAAAGATGCCTAAAAAATAACCTAAGAATATAAGTGTATTTCATAGTAAAGGAGATATATTTCTACCCTCACTAATGATAAATTTAACATGAAGATTTGGATTATTCATAAAACATGTTAATAATAACCTTCCAAAAACAAGCTAACAAGACATTTAACGAATTTCTTGCAGTTCTTTAGGATTAAATAAATCCTTATCAGCTTGGGATAATTGTAGTCAAGTGCTGCCAAATACAGTATGAAATATACCCGACTTAGCAACGTCTCTTGCAGAACTTTATGGTACCAATTTGCTACTGGCTTTTTTCACCTTGCTAATTTTCATGAAACTAACACTCTGAAAATAATACAGCTTACTTATCAAACTGTTATTTAAAAGAAAAAAATATATTTTCTTTAGTAAATTAAAAAAGGGTCATACAATAAGGGTAAGGATTAATTGTAGTATTTTTATATAGTCACATCTTTGGCAAAGAATGAGCTTTTAAAAATGTATCAGGTAACTGCAGGTTCTCCATTACTTTCAAGTTAAAGAGAAATATTAATTAAGCTTAAACAATGACAATCATCAAATAATTACACTTTACCGGTACATTCAATCTAACTTCTATACATGACATCAAAATTCAAAGAAAACTACACAAATGAAAGCTACAGTCAAAGGAATGATTTTTAGGTACAAATAAGATGAAAATTAACATTTTCACCCCTCCCAAAACTTCCATGCACTATTCCAATTCAAATATACACATACATCATTAAAAGTGAGCCTCACAGACCTTTGCACTCTCCTGAAAGAAGGCTCCTCTCTCTAGGGCTACTGTAACTTCAGTTCGTCTTGAAACCCAAGCACATTTCTGATAACTCAGTACCTTCCCCTAGGAATTACTCAGTCCAAAGAACTCAGGAAAGTGATCAGAGAAACCTTTTCTGGCACCAAAGAAGGGTTGTGCACAAATAAAATGTGTATTAAAACAAGATTTACCTCAATTGTAGGATCATATTCATCCACAAAGTGATTCTGAATTAGCTGTATCGTCAAGGCACTCTTGCCTACGCCACCAGCTCCAACTACCACAAGTTTATATTCAGTCATTTTCAGCAGGCCTTATAACAAAAATAAGGAAAATGTTACTAAATTACAACATGTACCACACATGAGGTTAATATACTATCAAATACTCTTACGAATGCCTTTAGCACAAATTCACCTTTACTTGGAAAATTGTAAGGTACACTAAAATTCAGTGATGAAAACTTCAGCTGATTATAATGAATTATACTTCATTTACAAACTCCCTCATCAATATTTAAGAAAAATACGTTGCTCTATCTACTAGCTTTGTGCAGTAACTAATGGCTCTCACAGGGACACACCATGACTTCCTCAGTACAGGAGTCTCCCACAGTGCTCTACACCCTACAGACACACCCGCACTACTTGCTGACAGCTACGACCACTCCTATCCTTGCAGTATCCCTAGCTGATCCTAGCTTCCAACAATTAGAAGTAGATGTTCTAAAAGTACCTTTGTTGGAGCTAGTATGAACATTTTTTTCATTTTTCTCTGAGACAGGGTCTATGTATTTAGGCTGGCCTTGAACTCACTATGTAGCTCCAATCAAACCTTAAATATGAAGCAACCCTTTTCTGAGCCTCCTAAGTGCTGGAGTTATAAGCAGGGTGCCACCATGCCTGACTGGAAAACTTTTTAAAAACATCATCATAGTTCTGGATAGGTAGCAAGAATTACATGAGATTTCTAGGATTAAAGTTGGACTGCATCAAAGAGAAATAAAATGCCTCCCGAGAAAAACAAAGGTAAAAACTCAGAAAACCAAGAATTTTAGACAAACTATTCAGCATAAGTGATCTGGTCACCAGTCACAATACATACTTGCATATTAGTGCTGCTAAACAGCGGTCTGTGCAAGGAAAACAAAATTTAGAAATAAATACTATTTTTAGTATGACAAAATTCTGAAGATGTAAGTGTGCATTTCTGAGTAATCCAACTAACTTACTTCCGGTGCATCATTTCTCAACAGGTGCAATCAATACAACTTCTACTGTTGACGATCACAAGATAGAGAAGAAGAACGTCTGACAGTTTTTAGTCAGCTACTTAAACTTTTCAAAACTAAAATAAATATGTTTAATTTTATTCCTTTTCCTCATGGAACATATAATTACAAATAAAGAGAAATGCAGAAAAAAATGACACACCCACTCATGTGGAATACAAGTAGTTTTAGATGTAAACACACAAAGCGACCTGTTTATTGAAGACTGAGAATTATCTAAATAGGCACCAAGAGAAAAGTAAAGAGAATTTGTCCCAGTGCACTAACCTCACCTTACTTCTGAGCTTCCTCAGAAACAGGACTACAGACTGGAAGACTGTTGCCTCACAGCCCTGCAGGACCACTCTGTCCCCTGCTCAGCCCGGGCCACCCTCACTGTTGTTTCTCTAGGGCTGCGATGAAGCCCGCTGAGTGGGGATCTTACCCTTCAGTATGTTTTACCCCAAATATAGGCCACAGCAAATGGGGATAAGGAGAATGGAGAGATGAAAAGAATCACATAAAAATATGTCCTTCAACTCCCTGCAGGCGTTATTCCCTCTCCCCACTTCTCCACCCCTCCAAAGAAAAGTCTGAAAAGTTGTAACCGCAATTCAGGAACCTCTTTTGGAGTTCTGAACGGTCAAAATTGTTTCGTAATAGTATTAAGATGTTCTTTAGCCTTTTCACTACCCTTTCACAAGTGTCTAGTAGAGTTATTCAGACTGTGATCACAATAGATTGAATGCAGATGTCTCCTATTAAAGCACATAATTAAACAGATTTGTTAAAAGTGTGAAACAATGCCACCCTTCTAATTTCTAGCTCGCTTTTGGAAAAGTTACTTTTCATTAAAAAATGTATTCGCACTATCAAATAACAGACTTATTATTTCTACTTCTAAATGAAAAAATGCAGTTTTAAAGTTCTTTTTTTCTAATATGGTAAATACGGCTAAACCCCCCCAAAACAAATCAAACATTTTTGAGACCGTCAGTACTTTTTAAGAATGTAAAGGAGTTCTCTAGTGCACAAGGTTCCCTGTAGACAAAGACTGCACTGGAGCTGAGTGGTACATGCAGGTGTAATCAGAGACTCATACCTTCTGGTCTACTTATTTATGCAACGTTTGTTGCTGGGGGAAAATAATTCTTGCATCAGGTTTTTAAAACCATGTAATATTTAAGTCCATTCGAAGGAACTGGGTTCTAAAGGAGCTTCACTGAAGATTACAGAGCAGAAAGGGTTACCCTCACCAATAGTTAGGAAAGGTAGTAAGGAGTACATACAACTGGGACTAGAACCCAACAATTTGGTTAAGGGGCGAGGTATTCACTTTTATTATAAACCTGAATTACCGTTTAACACCCCTTTACGTCAAATACGTTTGTGGATGGCTACAGTCTCAAAGTAAACACACCGGGATCACGCATATCTGATCTCTACACTATTACATGCAGGAGCCAGCATTTCAGGCCTTCATCACTTAAAAGTGACCCCATTCATCTGGGTAATTCTGAGACGACTATTACCAACAGACATTTTTCCTCGGTGATGTTTAGATGATTTTCCATGACAAACATAACATATACACTGTGTGACAACTAGAAAACGCCATTGTGGTTTTTAATCCCTTGCTTTCCTGTACATGGGCTTAGAAAGACTGGCGTATGACTTCGCCTGGAACATGCACAGGTCTAAGAGCATTTATTTCATACAGTTAGTAGTCTGGTGGCTACAATTAACTCCTTTTTAAAGTCAATTTAAAAACACTATGTAAGTACTGTTTTAGGACAGGGAACAAATCTGTAAGGACGAACGTAATATAGAAGAGACAGAAGAAAGGACCAGAAAAGGCAAATTAAACTTCAGACCATTATAACCACTGCTGTCTGCACTGGACTGGGGGGGGGGGGGAGCCCTGCCTTTGCTCTTTGGGTTTTGCTTCCTGTGCTTTAACTTGACAAAACAAAACAGACCTTCTGGGATTAACTTTTTCCTTTTCACTGCAGGTCGCAGGCTTTACGTGCAGGGTGTTGGCCACCTGTTCTTCCACCACCATCTCTACCTCCACCTCCTCCTTTGTGGCCACAGCAATGTCACAGCTCGCGCAGGGGGGGAGGGGAGCCGTCAGGAACTCGGCGGCAGATGCATCTTTACCCCCAAACACAATAACCTCCAACGGTGGTCTCGGGGCGCGCTCGGACGCCGGCCCCCGACGCGACCTCCGCTCGGACCCGCGCGGCCCCCTCCGCCCCGGGCAGGACCGCGGTCCGCCCGGCCTGCGCTCCGGGGAGAAGTTTCCACCCGCTCCAGGGATGCTGGATGCGGCGGCGAAGGCAGCGGCCGGGCGCCGGCGGGAGGCGAGGTGCGGGAG